GCTTGAAAGTAGAGAGTCAACCAACTTAACATTTTCTGCTGAATGGAAGGAATAGTCAAGGGAGTCCATATTTCCGGCAGTCTCTCTGTCAGTGTATGCGCTTGTTGCCGCGTAATCTTAGTAAGAACTACGCCGAGCTTAATGAAACTAGGAGAGCGTACGCTGCGATATTATAAGCAATGCTATTGTGGCTTCACACTCTACTTTAACTGCAGAGTGAACCAGAATATCCAAGCTTTTCTTATTTTCAGTAAAAAGTCATTCATGGTGTGTGCACTTGAATGTTTGACTCTTTGTATCTTCCTCAGCTTTGGATCGTTTTGAGGCGTGATGACGCAACTAACAGACTAATTACAAAATTTTTGAACTTGTAAACCTAAGACATGCAAAATAACCGAATCCAGGGTCCAGTAATCGTGAGACTTTTTGAGTTTGAGTTAATATCTATTTTCGTCAGAGTTTTTGTTTGTTGGATGTCAGTTGGTAATTTTTGAGTGTATTCAATTCTGTCGGATGAAAATCGATTATTTGTTACTGAGCATTTTAAGCTTCCTGAACGCTCTCAAATTATTAGAGAAAATGCCCGAAGGTCAAAAAATTGATATCCTAAGCATTTTGTTCTAAATAGGAGTTTGAAGCACTAATATCTTTGGTGCAGCTACAAGTTCGAAATTGGTTTGTAAGTGTAATTTCAAAACAGACTTTAATACTCTAAAAACTAGTAGAGCTGTTGGAATTTTTTTTAAGATTCCAATTGGTTATAATTGCATTCAACAAAGCGCTACAACGTTCTTCTGATAAAAGTGCATTATATATTTTATTCCTAGAATAGCTATTTTGATGTAAACAAAACTACGAAGCAAAATACAAATCTACTAAATACATGAGAAATTTTGTATTTACTTTTGTTTTGAAACCTCCTAGAACCGGATGAACCCTCTCGTGTTTTTCAACAAAGTGCATGTCATTTCCAATGAGATGGCCGTCTTCAATGTGATCTGGGGCGGGAACGTGTATGTATCTGTCAGTAAAGTAAAAACTCTGTTAATAAATGTGTCGGCAGTCAATGTGTTCAGAAGCCAGTCGCATGGTTTAGTTAGGAGTAATAGACATGTGTTAATCGATTAAGTGCCGTGACAAGGCACATCAGTCATCACCCTTCCTGAGCAGAAGAATACTTATGCAGTTGAAAAACTAGGAAGAATTGGGGCAACCAAAACAAACTATCATTGGTTCCAATGCAGAACAGGAACTCAAAAATTTGGCTGTTAATCCAAGAAAGCAGGATATCTGTAAAGATGCATGCTCAATATAGTTGTAGTCACTGTTCTTGGCGATTACGTCATCAACGACATATGGAATGAGTAAGCAGATCGAGTCTTCGTACCATGGGCGGAACACTGCGCAGACTAATCTTCAGCGCATCTGCTACTTTCTCCAGTACGCTTAAAGTGGGTAACAGGGGACCGCTGTTTTCCGGGCATTGTACAATTTTATATTGAAGATTGATAACAGGACAACTCGAATTGCATGCCGATGTCAAGTAACTTGTCACTCTGGCAAATATGATTGATGGGCCCTCATACATAACGACAAGGTTTTCGTGACCGGACAAACATTCACACACAGGGGTAGGGTGCATGTATTAGGGAGAAGTTGTATCTATAAGGGAGATAGAGATATATAAAGGGATACTAGTAGTCTTACTTTGACCCTCCATTTACGGTGACTACAACTATACCTGCTTAGTATTGGAGAAATTGTTACTTTTTCTCCACTGTTTTTTACAATATATCACTCATTGACCTGTGAGTTTTAGTATATCACATTTTTTGAAAGATATAGGCAAAATTAAAACTAAATCGATTGGTTTTTGGAGCGTTGCGGTGAAATATCGGCTTCTAAAGCTTTTAATAACTTCGTTTAATGGAAATTCTGTGCCCACGGAATACCTCTCGCGACATACAGGAAGCTAGAGCAGAACGAACGTACAAATGTAACATATAAAGTTCCTACAAACATAGTACCTAAAATATCTCAAAATACAGGGTATTGAAAACTTGAGTGTCGCTGATGAAACTCATTCTCAATAACGCTCTAGCCGAGAGGGGTTACTCTCTAATATACTACGTACAAATTTTAATACCAAGCTTCAATAAATTCAGTATATCTTCAAAGTAGAGCGAATTTGGGTTCATACTCGTATATCGATTATTATATTTCAAATGTTCAAACAAATTGTTCTCCAAAAGGAATGTTCTGACAGAAATTGCCATATATAAAACTGCTACAGATGCTGCAGGAAAATCAGTGGCGTAGTCAATATTTTCCTTCTGTAGCGGTTAAGATAGCAGTTTCTACGTTACCAGTGTAGTTAGAGCCTCAAAATCTTATATACAGAGAAATTCATATATCCCTGACGGCGAAATGTGTAGCGTGCAATACGTATGCTAGAAAGAGATAGAAGCACCACGTTGCGTAGCAACCCTAGTGCCGAGGAGACGGACGCAGCCGCGGCTTGCCGCGTTGCCATTGGCGCACTCTTTCTAACATACCTATTGCACGCTATGCAATACTAACACTATAAATTTTACTAATAAAAATGAGATATTTGTTTGGACTTTTCGTGTCGTTTTTGCATTTACTTTCTGTTAGAAATATTGCCAATGGATTTTTCGATCATTTTGTATAAATCGAATGCGTCGCAGTCTGTTTAGACTGCTGCATCATTTTGTTGAATCTGTACTCCATTTAAATTTGAAATTAGAAATGGAAAAGCAACTTGTCATCTAAAGCGCTTTCTTTTTATAGGGTATTGGCGGTATCATTTCCAAAGGAATATGGGTTAATCAATTGGCCTGACGATCCCGTGATCTCACTCCTATGGACTATCTTTTGTGGGTATATTTTAAACCGATAAACCAGGAGTTGTAGAACGCTTAGAATTGCTAATAGCTTCAAAAGGAGACATAAAATTGGTCTTCAACGTTAGGCTTTGCTTGTCCGAAATCAGTAGTTGCACCTTTTTAATAGCCGTAGAGTTGTATATTATTATTGTATTTTCAGGTCTGATCTTGGAGAAAGTACTACATACTTACATTGCAAGGCGTGTCAAGTTCTTGCGTTTTGACATTTAGTTTGTTATATAAACTCGATGATTTTTTGCCTTCATCCAAGTTGGTAAGCTACTAAGCAAGAAACAATCTGGCTCCAAATTAACCGCAGATTGCAGTATTTTACAAACCCAATTTCGTACAAGCCTAAGGCCAGACGAAATTAGCGGAATTTGCGTTGGGGAAGACTTGGTAAAAAAGCAATTAAGACTGGAATAACGAAATTCAATATAAACATAATTCCAGCGTGCCTTTCTTTTCTTAGAAGTGAAAGGCATAACATTATATAATACGTAAGACACAGAAAATTGTTGAGTCGCATTCATAAGTAAATAAAGCATCTTGAAGTTGAAATCTATGCATTTCTCTTGTGGCTGACCATGAACTTTCGAATACTATGATTTTTTTTAAATCAAATCAATCAAAAAATAATACCAGTTAATATAACAGAGTTATACTGTATGCTTGATAATAATATATATCAGAGTCACTAACTACTATGCAAACAATAAGAACTAGATTACGTGTCTAAATCCATAGAACACGATCTCAGAAGTGGAAGACCTAAAACAACAACAAATGATGAAATGAATCAAAAAGTTAAAGCTATGGTTCTCGAAGATCGTCGTGTGAAGGTCTCTAGCATTTGTATGTCACTGTATATATCAGAACCCAGCATAATAACCACATTGCACGACACATTGAATATGAGTAAGGTGTCTGCCAGATGGGTTCCACTGTCTGAACAAGTTGGAAATTTCAGAAAATCATTTGGAAACTTTGCCCAACGATTCTGACCCTTTGGCCCAAATTGTTACGGGCGACGAGACTTTGGTGTATCATTGGAATCTTGAGACAAAAACAAAATCCAAGCAGTGAGTTGATAAAGTGTCTCCACCCCCAAAAACGGAACGATGAAACCATCTGCTGGAAAACTGATGGCAGTAGTTTTTTGGGACATCAGGAGCATCCTTCTTATTGAATATAGGCCAAAAGAGATAACTTTAAACGCGAATGTCTGTGCGAACAGGCTGAACAATTTACGGAAAGCAAACAACCAGAAAAATGTTTCTGCTACGTGCACCTCGTTGAGATAGACCATCCTCCCTACAGTCCGTACTTAGCTCCATCTGACTTTTATCTCTTTAGATGATGAAAGAATAATTTTTGAGCAACCCATTTTGACTCAGATAATGACCTAAAAGAGTCTAGAAGAAAACCTTATTATAAGGGTATAAGTTTACTGAAGGAGAAATGGCGCAAGTGCATTGATATAGGGGGATTATATTGAAAAATAAAGTTATCCAAGTTATCCTACGTCTGTTTCATGGCTAGTTTAATTTCTTTTCTAGCACCCCTCGTACTATTATAGCGTTTTGATGATTTGTTGTTTAGTTACGACTCATCGTACAAAAACGCTCAACTGTCCTTCTGCCATACTGCCAATAGTAAAATGAAACACTCATAAACATGAACTTTAAAATGAAGTATCACACGACCCCTCATGTCATTTAAAAAATGCTCCAAAATGACGCCCAGCCTCTATCACATAGTTTCCAACTGCAACATCAATTTTAATTTTCAGCTTGTGAACTCGTTTAAAAATTATGTTGGACGGAGACCGCGCTTGAAAGAGCAGTGTATATATATATATATTTGAATAAGAAAAAAATTATAAATATGCCGCTCTTTTCCGTGGCATCCTTTATAGATAACATGTTTATTCGTGTTAGCATATTAATCGATTCCATGACTAGCCTCTAGAGAAATATTATACTTTCCTGCCATTGGCACATGAAATAGGACGGGTTAATTGAAGCAGTGTAAGTTTTGTCAGTCAGCACACCAAAGGCAACGAGATGCAAGCATAAATATGAAGAAATGCACCTTTCCCTGACGATGGAGGTTATCTAGATTCAGTTTTTCGAAACGTTGTTCCCAGTACTTCGGTGTTTCTGCCACATGTCCAAACTCTAGCTGTCCGGGCTGTTCCATCGCCATGTATATGTCCCTGTTATAATATAGCATAAAGAAACTGTCTACATATGTTCACAACCATAGTATAAACAATCTGTAGTACTAGCTGTTAAAATGCTATCTTGCATATGCGGAAAATATACCCCACTGAAAGCAACAGATCAAAATGGGCATATTTGTATTGTATTGTATTTGTAACCATTCATAATATTCATGATGCGAATAAACCCAATCTTACCTTCTTTCAAAAAGGCTGAGGAACATGTTGAATGATGTCAATGTAATCTAGTTTTATTCAACTAACTTTATTTCTACGTAACAATTTCGTAAACTGATTGTTTTTCAAATTGTGTATAACTACTGTACCCCGAACATTGATTACAAGATATTGCAGTAAGCGATGCTCTGTATGCCAGAACTATAGTTATGGATTCATAAATTATTTGCGATTGTCAATGTATCGACAAATACCACATATCATCGAAATGAGCTAAAATAAACTTCACAGTTTATGCACATTTTAATGAGTGAAGAGGATACCTGGGAATTTGTCCCCCAATTTTCAATGCAAATGTGTTAGTAGGTCTCACTTCCTTCCCATTTAGTCACAGTTCTTTAAAGCGAAATAAATAATTTTGTATGTATCTCGATATTCATCGTAATCGACCTTACACGTATAGACTGTTAAGCATTTGTTTTGAAACGGTGATGACATTCAGATTCTGAATCAGAACCACACATATATAGTTTGATCAATGATAGCACGGTTTGTCCAAAGAAGAAGCATTAATATTGATCAGAAGTTGTGTATGCAATCTGAATATGATTTACCGGATAGGTAAATGGAAAGTTGGAAACTAGGAACTTTACCACTATGCTACAAAAGCAAAACAGGAATAGTTTTTTTGGTTATTTACCCTTCAGGTATGTCAAGTCTGGAGTCTTCAAATACGTGGAAGACAACTTGGTGATACGTGTTTCGAACCACGAAAAGCTTTTCTTACTGGCAGAGACAATTCTGATCAGAAGGGATGGGACAGTATCCATCGTGTAGAATACAGCTCGATTTGAAATGTTAAGCAAAAGTTTGGCGATTCCATTTAGCGATATACGAATGCAGCGACGTTATCAGAAAATGCCGCAGCTTGGCCTATTTGTTGAGAAAAGCAGAAAACAAATGCATTGCTTTTGAACATCTAGAATAAATTAAATACAGACGACTATACTTTACCATTAATTAAAACTTTTAGAACAAAATAGAATTTTATGATTAAATGGTGGATGAAAATTTATCGCTACTTTTTTATGAAAAATTTGAATATCTCTACTCTAGGATCTTTGATAAGTTGCGCGACGCGATTTTCAATAGAAAGTTTTGAACGTAAAACACCAGTCTTCTTAAGGAATTATGACTGCTATCGTGTCCAAAAGCCGAAAACTAGAGCTTGAAACTATATTACGAGGAATGTCTTTTAAGTTTTGCATATGGAAATAAAACAACACGGTAGCTAGTTTTAAATGACTTTATTGTTTTTCGAAGTATTCTCCACGAAGATTAATACACATCTGCATGCGCTCGAACCAATTTTCGAAGTACTTATTCCACTGGTTTGCTAGCAGATCCAAAACGGCATTTTTGAATGCGTCAACTGCTTCTTCTGGTGACTGGAATCTTTGATCACGCAGTCTATTTTTAATTTTCGGGAAAGTTAAGAAATCGTTAGGACTTAGATCGGGACTATATGGTGGATGGTCCAATAATTCCATGTTTTCTTTCGTTAAATACTGCCTTGTTTTTTGGGTTGTGTGCGAGCTTGCATTGTCTTGGTGGAGGATGATTCTCCTTTCGGGGTTGATTTTTCGAAGCTCGATGATGACTTTTGGCAAACAAATGGTGATATACCAATATCCGCAGTAACACTTCTCTGCTCATTAAGAGGAGTTGTTGCAATATCACCCGCCTTTGACACATGTGGCGACCATCTTTTTCGAAACACTTCGAGAACGGATAACTTTTGTTGGCTTTTCTTCACCTTGGAACACCCAAACAGCGGACTGTCGTTTATTTTCGGGTTCATAACAGTAAATCCACGATTCATCACCACTAACAATACTGTACACATTTTTTGAGTTTCCGGAATTGAAACGGTCAAGCGTTTTTTGACACCAATTAACCCTGGCTGCTTTCTGCTCTTCAGTCAACAGGTGGGGTATCCAACGAGAAACTAATTTTCTTACTCCTAATTCTTCATGTACAATTTTTGGAATTGAGGTCTTTGAGACCTTCAAGGACAGTAACTCAGCAAGGCATTCTTGTTGCGATAATTGTCTCTGAAAGTTGTAATAAATTATGGCGCGAAAATGTTCTCGGTTGAGTTCCATTTTCCTAATGACTTGGTGACACTTAAAAATTCACTGTGGTGAGAACACTGCATGTATTGTTGTGAAACTTTGAATTTAAGTTTACTAAAGAGTGAGGTTAAGATTCAGTACTGACGTACAATCCGCGCGGCCTACTATGTTTCTATATGCAAAACTTAAAAGACATCCCTCGTATTTGGCTTTCTGAATAGCTCTGGCATAACAGAAATGTGTTATAGTAAAGAAAACAAAATATGTGGATAACTTACTGGAAGAATTTGTTGCCTGCATAGGGGTTTCCGCCGTACACCGATTCTGCAGGTACATTGTCTTCTTTGTCTATGTAACCGCTGCCAACTTGTCTGTCTTGCCGCACCTTCTGAGCTGCCGTTAAACCGCTCAGATATGCCAGCGTTAAAGCTGCAAACTAGAAAAGAAATCATATTTAGTGACGACATAACTTCATAACAAATTGATATATGTATCTAGCAAATGTAGTTGATAGAATAAATTCACGGGAACTTGAAATGCCACTACTGCTTAGAATAAATGCAGTATGAGTTCGCTTGACTTTGGTTCATTTACAAAGACTAACGTTGGCAGAATCACAAAACTTTCTGAGAATACTTTTGCATATACTGTTCAAATGGTTCCAACGAAACGCAGTTCGCTGTGACAGTGAGACCCATCTTTCAAGAGATAAAACTTGTAGTTATTTAAGGAATATTTCAAAGTGCAATAAAACAGATAATGTAACTCCTGAACCTAGTAAACTTGGAAGGGTATATTCACTTTCTTGGAATGTACATTTTAGATGCTAAATGCGATATTATAATGAAGCAGGTTCTTAGAACAGCCTAACGAACGTTCTAAGAATATGCAATTTAAGAACAATCGGAACGAAAATGTTTATAGCATACTCGCATTTGCTCACATGCTAAGAATAGTCATGTCCATACAAAATCTTCTTGACACGAAACAGTAATATTCTACCAGGTAATAAAAAGGGATATTCATGTCACGACCTATCGCTCATGCGTCAGTGTCCCAGCGACCAATGGCATAACGGCAAAGCGACGCTAACCGGCTTCCATTTTGTTTTATTTCATGTCGTGCAATGTATGTGTCTCCAATCCAAGTGGAGTGGAGTATTTGGGCGTGTTTTTTATGGAAAAAATTAACTCCCTTGATGATTATTCACCTCAATCCACCTGACTAATGAACATTAATATGTCAACTGAGTAAGGTGTTGACAAGATTATAACGTCCAAAAACCTCGTCTGCTAGGAAGTCTGATTTGTAGTGAGAAGAAATTGGCATCTGCAGCTGGTTCTGAAGAATAGATTTTTATAATACACAGAAAAGGACCTTGACCTTACATGAAATAGATCCATATTTATGACATACACGTTTTAATATGAATGCATAGTCAATTTGCCCTGTTAGGTTCTCAATTATCCTAAATTGGACTTGACAGGTTCACGTGCCTATGGTGTTATCATATGGATATACCTGAAATAATCATTAGATGTTTTTATGACGAACCATTGGATACATAACATCCATATTGTCATACCCAGATTCTTGCAAATGGATATCCATTGGATGTATCTGCCCACTCAGTGAATATCCTGGATATCCGCTACGGATATCTAATTGGATGTATGTGTGTTCTCTGGGAAGACAAGAATATCCTTAGAACGTGTGAAGATCTTAAGGAGAACATTCTTAGTATAGACTCTCATTGGATATGCAATAAAACTCTGCCAAATCATCTGATGCGAGTTCCCTTAGATTGTGGCTGTCCAACGGAATATGTCCATCATTTATTAATTAACGCAAATTAACTTCGGACAAATAGGTCTAAATCACGTGGCACCAAAATGCTCCTACTTCTTTACTAATTCTATTACGCCAATGCAGAGCTTTCATGATTCGAGCCAAAATCATTTAATTACCATATTGCATCCATACATAGCAACTCAATTCGAGGTAGTGTCAAAAATGTTACCGACAACTTTTGTGAAATTATATTTACCATACTTCATTAGGTGTTCAAAAACTTTCGTGTGCATCTCGAATTCAGGATTAGGGTTGAGAAGCAACTTTTTGAAATTGACAAAATGGAATATGGCAAACAAATGTAGTTAACATTAATTGACACTAAGATCTTGAATTACTCATCTACACCGGAGGTTACTGACATGTGGTAGTGGTATCTGATGATACTTCATCGGTTAATTTTGTACATTAATTTGCATTCAATTCAGATAGCCTATTTTTGATATAATGCAGACGTACCTGTTACCTTGTCCGAATGGTAAAGGTTGCATATAAATTTCGAAACAGCAACATTGAGATCTTAGAATTACAATGAGACTTGAGTGTCAGCTTTCGTTTCGTGAAAATATATCCGGATTCCATCTAAGTCTATCCAGTAAACCAAATGCGAATATATTTGCTATTCCAAGGTCATGGATGTCTTGTCCATTTTCATCACATTGAAAAATTGTGCAGTGTGCACAGATTTAATTTAATTATAGGGATATATCATCTATGCTACATTTTAATTGATGCGATTACACAGTGTGACATGTTATTTCACGGAATTTTCTGATAACAGATCAGTAATCAACATATTAAAAGTAAAATTACACTCATGCTTGGGAAGTTTATAAATAAACAGGAAAATATTTCTGTACTTTTGCCGATGCTGTTTATACATTTCCTGACTATGCATCATTTGAAAAATCGTAATTTATTATCAAAGAGAAAATATTGCAGGACCTCAGTCATAAGTATATTTCTTCATGATAAACGAAGATCTCCCTTTTAATGTTGTTTACCTTCTCTTCTCAATCCTCAGCAAATGAGAAATACAAAATGGTAATGCTTTATGATCTCATTACTTGCTCTCACGATGTCGGATTTTCATTTACTTCGAATTTGTAAATATAGCGATGCTTTTTGAAGGAATGGTTATTAACATCAATTAGCAGAATTTCCCAAAAAGAATTTTGATGAGAGAAATATACTACTTTAACTTGAAATAATTAGATAGTTGTCTTATTTCAGACCTCTGGAGGGGCTGACAAAGAATATGTTCTCTGTTACGAATTCATTTTGAATATTTCAGCAAAGGTGGTTAAAGGTAATAATTAGGTTTTTTAATTTGGATGTATGGGAAATTTCAATATGGTTATATATGAATTAAAGGTGGGCCGGTTTTGAATGAGTCGTTTAAAAAAATGATACCGCGGAGGGAATTGGGGGAATGGATGTCCATCACCTCGAAGGACTTGATTCCGATGGTTCCGGTTCCTATGATTTCGATTCCGATTCCAGTGGTTTCAATTCTTACTCTCAAAACCAACTACTTGAAAGGAATAGAAGAGTTCTGATTCGAATATCGCCGCTACTGCAAACACGGATTATCGCACTAACGTTTTCTATTGCAGCGACTCCAAACTAGGAACGATCTGCAAGTTGATAATTGTGGTATGAGCTTTGGAGTATGGACTGCTTCTAGGTTTATGTTAAGGAACCATTTTAGTGTTAAATTAATCGCAGATGATGAAAGCGGGCGAGTTCACAACAGTAGATATTAAACAAAGTTAAATAATAGGTGATAAAAGATTTAGTGATATAGAAGAAGGCAAGGGAAATTATAATCCTCCATCATAGGGCTCAATGTTACCTCCAAGACACAAACGACAAATCGCGAAATGTTTCAAGTTCACGACTGAACCCACTGCCGACAATTTCCAATCGGATTTTGGAAACTGCATAAAAGTGTCACAAGGCTCAAATCAAGATAGAACTGCGGAAGGGTAGGAGTTGATACCTCTCAACACGCCTTATAACCTGTTTCATGTTACAACCTTCCTGGCTGTCCATCGGCAAAATGTACCCACAGTACACAGGCACTACATACATCCACACTAGCATGTGTTTCACATTTCGATAAATAATCATGATTATCGCTTTAAAAACCCAATCACATCCTTTTCAGCTTTTAGCTTGCTATGTGTGTACCTACGTCATCGAATTTATTGCTACACGTTTTTACTCCTATAATAAAAACGAGAAGTTGAAAATATATTAGTCAGGCAATGATCTTGAACCGCGCTATAAAATGGGCAGGCGAAGTGCACTTCTTAAATCTGAAAGCGATATTAAAAAGTAGCACATCTATTCAGTAGGTTTTCAGCTTTCTGCTAATCTAGCTGAAAAAAATCAGTGGTGCTTCAGTACGGTAGATGAGAGATAGCTTAATAGTTTATGGAAATTGTATACTGAGACAGTTGTGACCTAGGCAAATCTGTTAGTTATACAGGGTTTGTCCGGAAAGTAGTATTACTCATTTTCTTCCGCCATGACTGTGCTTCGGAGCGTGCACGCACCGACTGGATTCGGTAGAGGGCGTTCCTAGCTAACGAATGAGCGGCTGGTCAGTTGTCTCCGAGCACTTGGAGAGTCAGGACAGGCATTTTCGTGCGACGTGTTTCTGTGAGTGGTGCAAGCCGAAAATGCTGCGTTCGTTAGAGCAGAGGTACGAGATTAAATTCTGTGTGAAACTCGGTAAATCTGCGACAGAGACGTTTGATATGATCAAGCAGGCTTACCCAGGTGTTACTTTAGCAAGAAATGGTGTGTTTCGGTGGCACCAGGTATTTTTGGAGGGCCGGGAAGAGGTCGCTGATGAAGACCGTGCTGGAAGACCTTCGACTTCGACAAACACCGATAATGTGACTCGTGAGCGCAAAGTTTTGAACTCAGACCGTCGACTAAGTATTCGTTTAATTGTCCAGATGTTGAATTTACCAAAATCTGTGGTTCATGACATTGTGACACAGCATTTGAACATGCCCAAGGTGTGCGCGAAGATGGTCCCGAAAGTGCTCACTGACGACCAGAAATTGCGGCGAGTGGAAAATTTGAACATGTGTGAAAGTGACCCCGAATTTTTGAATAACGTAATCACAGGTGACGAGTCGTGGATCTTTGAGTATGATCCCGAGACAAAGAGGCAATCTTCCGAGTGGCGCACGACGGCGTCTCCTCGCCCAAAAAAGGGAAGGATGAGCAAATCCAAAGTGAAAACGATGCTCATTGTCTTTTTTGACATCAAAGGCATCGTCCACCATGAATTTGTTCCTCCTGGACAAACCGTCAACGCCAAGTTTTACGAGGAAGTGCTCAGGAGACTCAAACGAAGGGTCAGTCGGGTCCGACAAGACATCGCAGCCGACTGGAGGTTGCACCACGCCAACGCCTCGGCTCACACCGCCTTTCTTGTGAACAGCTACCTGACCAAGGCCGGCATCCCAACGCTTCCGCAGCCGCCCTACAGCCCAGATGTGCCCCCCGGACTTTTTTTGTTTCCTCGCCTGGAAAGGCCGATGAAAGGCAAGCATTTTGAGACGA